ATGTTATCAGACAAACAAAGTTCCACCCTTAATAAATATACAATTTACACTCACACCGCATCTTTCAAGCCAGGATGACATCCCAAAACGCCTGTCAATTCTGTCTGGTCACTGGAGCTGAAGGGATGAACTTTATTACAACATAGTGTGACTGGTACAATATACAATACCAGAATGAATTTTCAAAAAATGTTTGCCACCAAAGCACAATTAGCATACATTGTCTCCTTAAAGGTGATATACTTGATAACAGAATGTCGGAATCAAGTCAATCTCGGTGATGTGGTGATCTCGGTAGTTTGGTTAAGTCGGACCAAGTCCAGAGCATTGCTGGTGACAGATTAGTTAAACTCCAACAATACCCCAACATATACTCTGAGGATCCTCGAGCCTTGACCCTTGCCTACCTAATACTCCTTGGAATTAGGTAAGCAAGATGGGTCTCCAGGGAAAGAGTGCACATTCCTTTCCAGACACAGAAATTTCCATGTATAGGTGGCATATTTGAAACGTTGTCAAGTTTGGATATTCAAGCATGTGGATGGGGTTTCTACATGTGGTGGATACCAGGCTGACCAAAAAAAGTACATATGTGGCATCTCCCTGTGACAGAGTACAGATATTCAATGTTGATTTACATTCAGATTAATTCAAATTTCAATGCCTCTGATATTAAATGACAAACATGGATATCTATTATTATTATTTATTATTATTATCTACGAAATACACAGTTATTCCACTTTACAGCATGTACTGGGAAGCATTTTGAGACTTCCTCCCAATGCGAAAGGGCACTATATTAAATATAAGTATTATACCTATATATACTGTAAAACCAAGTGTGAAATTAGTCGTTTTGAAACAAGAATCCTACGTCGTCATGCAACCATTCCTCAAAAAGTACTTTAGCTCTGTATTGAATTTTGATTGAAAAGTACTGATGCTTAAACAATTTGTTAATCCAAAGTGGTTTAACATGCCTGTACTTGTCTGTAAGAGACTCGTATTGAAATCTTTGATGATTCTTCAACGTTGTCTGTAGAATCAAGATCTGGAACTAGTATCGTGCTTTCACAGTTCCTAGTGTGTTACTGTTGTGTTTTGCAGGATTGAGTGGGTTTTCTTAAAAGAGCCATTGATACAACTAGGCTTCTTGTTTCTTCTTCGGATCGCCCGAATTTTTACTAATGCTGATTTACCATTAGTGACCAGTAGAATTGCATCACCTAACCTTTGCAGAGGCTAGAAAGGTGCCTAACATCACCGTCATTGCTATATCTGCTCAGCTTCTGGTAGAAACCAGCATATTCAGAATATGACTATTCTATTGCACATTGCTCAGCCACTTGTACCCAATTCCACAAACTTTGCTCCAACAACAACTTACATTTATATAGCGCCCCTCACGCAGGGTTAGCATCCCAGAGCACTTGACAGTGGCGGAGCACAACACCGAACCGGGGGAGGGGGAGGTGACCGTAGGCACGGTCAAATAGGAAAGTCTGCAGGCGTGACCTGAAGATGGAGAAGGAAGGGAAAAGACGGAGGGATAGAGGAAGAGTATTCCAGCTTTTCGGGGCATAGTGGCTGAAAGCGTGGCCACCAACGGTCGGAGAGGTAGGGAGGTGCCAGAGCATGAACGGATTTGAAAACGAGTGTGAGGATCTTGAAATCGATCCATTCGGTGATAGGGAGCCATTGAAGCCTGGCTAGAACTGATAATAATAATAATAATAATAATAATAATCCTTGCATTTGATATAGCGCTTTTCACGTCGGGAGGACGTCCCAAAGCGCTTCACAGAACACACTGTAAAGTGAATTGACTGCATATTTGTGGGCGAACGCGGCAGCCAATTGCGCACAGCAATGTCCCACAAACAGTCGTAGATTGAAAATGACCAATTTATTATTGTTTTGTTTTTGGAGGGATTATTATTAGGCTCTGTGTGGAGTAAGAAAACTTGTCCAAGGTTTCGCCCTGCCGGGAATTGAACTCAGGTCTCTCGCTTGCAAAGCGAGTGCTCTAACCAATGAGCTACAGGACTCCACAATGTGATGGGGATACAGAGTTTAGTGCAGGTGACTGTGTGGGTGGCGGGAAGTGCTGTATTTGGATATCAAAATAAAGGCTATGGGCTCACGGATCCTGTCTCTGAGATACTCAGACTATCCTTTCCAATTTAATTGGCCAGGTTACCAAATATATGTTTAAGTATAAATATAACCTTGTCCTGTTTGAGGCAGCTCCAGAGTAAACTCACAATACACAGACCAGACCATAAGTGGATATGGGTTGAAAGTTTACCTTGTGTTTTTCTATGGGAAAATCAAAAGTTTGAAGATAAATTTCAAACCAAATCGAGAGCTTCATGTACCACACCTATACATTTGAAATTCCAGAGATATTTATTGGGATGGAATGCGCTCTCTCTCCATGGAAGGACACATCCTGCTTACGAAAGTATTAGGCGCAGGTTGGCATGGGCCAAGTCTAGAGTGCGCGTTGGCATTTTGCTAGAGTCAAACCATCTAAAAACAAATAGCTTGTCATTGAAAGCATTGTCTGGTAAGCTACTACCATACTGCGTATAATAATAATCCTTGCATTTGATATAGCTCCTTATTATGTCGTTGAGACATCTCAAAGCTCTTCACTGGATGTATTGTAAAGTGAATTGACTGTGTATTTTGTGGTCGAAACACAGCAGCCAATTGTGCACAGCAATATATGGATAACCGGTATACAGGCAATTCTAATTTTCCTTTGTGTATGGAGGCCAGTTGCAGAAGGGCAATGGTTAAAAATATCTTGCTTTTAGTTCTACCTGTTGGTTAAAGACCTTGGACTCATTTATATCAAAGACGAGCAGTACACCTATTTTTGTCACGATTTTATCAGCATGGGGCAGTCTAAAAATGCAGTGACCTTTTCCTTTGCAGTGGAAAACTTTCAACAGTGACAATTATATTTTTGGACCAATATTATTTTCAGTCTTGTCCTTAGTTCTGTTTTGTAACTTTGTCCTTGAAGAATAAAATAAGTCATTGTGCATTTCAGTTGCAAAACTTAATAAAACAAATGTCTTAAATAAATGTCAATATTTAAAGGAAAACCTTCATTGTGAAGTAGTACACAGGGAAATATTTCAATTAGTTTTTTATCGACTCCTGTCTTGTTTTAAGATATTTTTGCCAAACGACTGATAAATGTGTAGTCTAGAGGCAATTTGTTGTTGTAGAGGTACAACCTCTACACTTAATCCACACTTATCACTTGCAGTTCAGTTCCAAATTTTCAACCTTTGTTTTTACTAATAATAAGACCTCTTCTGCATGATACGAATACAATAAAATCATTTAAGTACGTTTTTGTACATTTATTTAAATTGTATGCAGAAAAACTGGTGATAAATACTTCACTAAAATGTTTTCCCTCAAGTTGTAAGCAAAGGTTTTTAATCTGAGAAACAGTAGTAAGTCTAAATTTAAATGGTTGTGATATTTCTGAAAGCTATCACGCAGTAAAATAAATGTTTGAAATACAGGTCAATCAAATTCAGACTGTTATAAATATGCTGATCTTAGAACTGAGACACGAGAGTGCCATAACTTAAGAATTAGATATAGATGATGAAGATATAGATGTAGATATAGAATAGTAGATGAGCTAGCCACATGAATATAGATTTTTCATTGCACCTGTTGTTTAATATTGCGACTGCAGAATCAACACATTATTGTATTCGTATCATGGAAAAGACGTCTTATTATTAGTAAAACCAAAGGTTGAAAATTTGGATCAGTATGAAAATGTACTGAATAGGACCAGTTTGGGATTTCTTTGAAAATTTGCCGCTGTGTCACTTTGCTGTCAACATGCAATAAAGAAAAAGAAGTTGGAGAGTGAAGAAAGATGAAAACAGAAATTTTTCACAAGGCAACTCAAATTGAGTTATGAAAATATCAATGGGTTAAGCCAGTAGTTGACTCTACCGCCGTTGGTTGCCTTTGTCACCTCTCGGCTGGACTTTTCAAATGCCCTCCTCGCCGGTCTCCCATCCACTACCATCCATAAAATCCAGATCATTCAAAACTCTGGCCCCCACATTCTCAACTGTACCAAACTCCGCTCCCTGATCACCCCAGTCCTTGCCAGACTGCACTGGCTGCCTATCCCAGAGAGGATCGACTTCAAGATCCTCACCCTTGTATTCAAATCCCTTCACTCCTCTGCAACCCCTACCTCTCTGACCTCCTCTCTCCTCAAAACAGTACCGTTGCCTTCGTTCCTCCGAGTCTGGCCTCCTCCTCGTCCCCCGAGTCCTCCGCCACCCTCGGCGGCCGTGCCTTCAGCCACTATGCTCTGAGGCTCTGGAATTCCCTTCCTCACTCCCTTCGCCTCGCCCCCTCTCTTCCTATTTTCAGGTCCCTGCAGAAGACCTTTCTTTTCAACCACGTCTTTGGTCACCTTCTTCCCCACCCTCCTGGCTCAGCCCCGGGATCCGTTACTGTGAAGCGATTTGAGACGCCATCCGGCTTGGAGGACGCTATATAAATCCAAGTTGTTGTTGTTGGTATTTTGTTTATATAGTGAATGTGAGAATAATTCTACAACAACAACTTGCATTGATATAATCCATTAAAAATGATCTGCATTTTTTTATTTTTGCTGTCTTATTTAAGGAGAAATTTGATGAGGTGAAGTGTTAAATTACTGAGCTTGTTTCACCAGATGTAAGAGTAATGGAACTACTTTTGCCCTGTACAAATACATGGTTATTGGTTACTGAATGGAATGGAAGATTGCCTTCCTTTAATTTCAGTTCCTTGCGTTCATTGAACCATGTGATGGATTTCATATTTCACTGTATGACATTAATTGATGTGGTTATTTGAACACCACTTGTATTTAATGTAATATTACAGTTAAATAAATCAGTTGTAACTGTTTTCACTGGAACAGAAATAATTTGTATTTTCTCTCTATCTTGTAGATTTTTTGAGTATATCTACCTGTACAAGGAGTCAGTACTCTTTAAAATTGAGCAGAAGACTAAGCAGTGTTCAAAACTGCATCTCACCGATGTATGGGATCCATACGATATTCCTAATAACTCTACCTATGAAGATCAATACTATATTGGTGGACCAGGAGACCAGATTGAGGTTCAAGAGTGGTCAGACAGAAAACCTGCTCGGAAATGTAAGTAACCCAGCAGTATTCGGTACAGTTGCAGTAGCAGGTAGCATGCAATTTGTTTGTCCACAGTAGCAGTCTAAACTTTATTCAATTTTTTTTGATTCCTCAACAATATTTCACTATCCAACAGATCATTTAAATTATCTACAGTGTTTTTCATTTAAGTATTCCAAAGCAGTTCCTCAAGAATTAAAATTTTAATCAGTTATTGTTTTAAGATGCAGCTATAATTTATATCTACCGTTTCCTAGCTGATGTCTTTCAGATTGATTAGTACCTACTTGGGTGATATAAAAGTCAAATTGGAAGGATTATAATCTACATGTTTTAGTGAACCCAAAAGCTTACTGCTACAGGATTCCTCTCCAATGGGATATACATCTAGATTAATAAAATAATAATAATAATCCTTGCATTTGATATAGCGCTTTTCACGTCTTCTAGACATCTCAAAGAACTTCACAGAATATACTGTAAAGTGAATTGACTGTATATTTGTGGGCGAAACGCAGTAGCCAATAAATAATAAATAATAATCCTTGATATTTGATAAATAATATTTGATATAGCACCTTATCACGTCTTCCAGACATTTCAAAGTGCTTCACAGAATGTACTGTAAAGTGAATTGACTATGTTTAGTGGGCGAAATGTGGCAGCCGAGAATTGAAGTGACCAATTTATTATTGTTTTTTTTTCTTGAGGGATTATTATTAGGCATCTTTTATAACCTTTTGAAGTTAATTTTCTAATTCGTGATATATTTCTCATTGCTCCGGTTGAGATCTCAGAATCATATTCCAAGATAATTTAAAGCATTTGAATCAAACCTGTATCAGCTTTCTCTGTCCAGTTTCCATTTAGCTATTGGTAAACAATGAAGTGTTCCAGAGTTCACACAAGGCTGTTTTGACTTTCAAACCTTGCACATTGCCTGCAAGAACATTAGGTCCTTTCTACAATATCCCAAAACCAGCCAAACTGTATTGATTTTTTTCTTACAACTGTTAAAATGCACTTTTCTGCAATGCAAATATGATCCCATTTACTCTTATCAGATTTGTAGGAACATTAGTCAGTTATTTGGATATTTAAACCATGGGGAACAAAATTGTCCAACTGTAGAATCTGATTTTGCAAAGTTAACTTTAATATTAGAATTGGCCCGTTTTTATTTTAAGCTTAAAACAGTTCAGTAATGTTTTACAAAGCACTCTTATGATTAGCTCAGGGCACACTCTGAGCACTATATCTACTATGAGTTGATTACTTGCCAAACCACACTGGAGCTGAACTGGCAAGAGGTCTGGTGATGTAGTGATTAAGATGCCAATGGTTTAAGTACATTGGGGGTACTGTTAGAATTTAATCAGCCAAAACCATATAGTTTATAATTACAAGACTAGCAAGTTTCTCGCTGCTCATCCAGCTATGACAACACTACATACTACATGCTAAGGTGTTGACTTTTAGTGTTATCAAGAGCAAAATCAGAAGAATTTCAACACTCAGTGATGACTACCCCTCCAAATCCCTTTGATGACCTTGGCTGGCTAATCATCAACTGTACTCAGGAGTACTGCTATATCAATGAACAGAAAAGGGAAACCTGAATATTGTTCGTGATTTGTAGTTTACATATTTCTGTTTAACTCAACACAATGCAGTATTTGTCCTCCCGACATGAAAGCTATATAAATGTAGGTTTCTTGTTGTTATACAAAGGAACATTGCATTTCTGGCTACCGATAGCTTTGTAGTGAGTAGTTAAGTATTAATGCTCTATTATGTATATCCCGTATTCATTGTTTGCTATTCCAATTATTTTAAATAAACTGACTGTAACTAGTAATTGTAAGAACAAGAAAAACAACTTCATGTCATAACGGTTGTAACAATGCACCTATCGACCCTGCTTCACTATTTTTAGTTCTTAGCAACATGTTTTCTAGTTCTCACTTCCCTGCCTTTCTCAAAAAATCCCCTCATTATTCTTTGTAGTCCTAGGGGGTTGCTACATTGTTGGAGGTACCATCCTTCAGATGAGATACTAAATTGGTCTGCTTGTTCAGGTGGACGTTAAAAGATCCCAAAGCACTTTTCAAAAAGGGAGTTTCTCCTCTTGTTTTGGCCAACAATCCCCCAAATAAAAATTGTTCACTTATTCCATGGTTATTTGTGGGACACTCTGCACACAAATTGGCTGTCGCATTCACCTACAAGTACAATCACTGCACTTAGCAATAAAAATCCTGTGAAGCATTTTGAGACGTCTCGATGACGTGATGAAGCATTATATCAAATGCAAGCATTATTGCTGTAAGTACCTATTTACTTCCCTTTATAACTTTTGTAATTGATTCTGTGCTTCTGGCATTCTGGCACTAAAAGTTTTCATAAACCTGTCGTGTGAATTCTACACATTAAATTTTAATTGGATTACCAACAATTTTAGGATTGCTGAGAAAATGAGGCGATTTGACACTGAAGTCCAGAAAATATGGCCCATCGCTCTAGTGCCACCATGTGGAAGCAATTCCTCAAATTATACTTATCAGGTGTACCAATAAACACATTGTATGATGTTTAGGTGTTGTGGATGTGTCATTCCAATAAATTGGTTGTGATCATTAAACAAAGCAATTGATTGCCTCCCTCATCAATGAATAATACGACAGCTATGCTCACGTAAGCCAATTTAAAGGGATTTGAGAGTGCTGTGTATATTCAAAGGAAACGTGACAGTAAAAAAAATTCAATGGGCATAACAATAATATTCTCAGCTCCATTTATATAATATAATAGTAATCTTTGCATTTGATATAGTGCTCCGTCATTTCTACTCAGACCAACAGCTTTGCACCCTCTAATGGTTTTTCATTGGCTTCCATTACTCTACCTTCCATAGCTTCCAACCTCTGTAAGCTTCAGCTCACCCAAACAGGTATAGCATGAATTTTCTCACACACTACATGCTTATTTTTCCTCACATTCTTGCCAGGCTCCACTGGCCCTGAGAACATTAACAGATTTTTTTTTAAAAGATCTTTTTCTTGACTTTCAAATCCCTTCACAGTTTCGCTCCTCTTAAGCCAATGTATTCTTCAGTCCTGTTATTCTTCCTGTATCCTATGCCCTTCCAATTCTGATCTATTGCTCCTTCCATTCTGGTCAAGTCTTCAGCCACCATACCCTCTGGATTTCTCTTCCAAAATGTCTTCATCTTTCTTCCACTCTGCCTGCTTTTAAAACTCTCTTAAAATGTAGCTCTTCAACCATACTATTTTCAACAAAACTTTAATCTCCCTTTTCCACCACAAATGTGCACCATCATATCTGTCGAGCGCTTTGGAACATTTTGAGCTATATTAAAATCTCTACCAGTTGTATTTGAAGATAATGTTGAAGTTTGCCACCTTCAAACAAACTGCAAGTTCAAAGAATTGTTTGACCAATATCTCTATTTTATGTAAATTGTATATGTGAACTTGTGAATTTGATGATTATTCATACTTCAGTCCCAACTGAATCATGCAATAAATAGTTCAACATGCTTAAAAACTAACCCACAATGGAAATAACTGCATGCTCAAATTTTGCATTTGATTGTTGAAACTTTTCCCAGTTTGCGTTCCATTTAATATTGCATCATTTCTTTTGTTGTGAAATCATGAATCCCGAGTTTCACAGATGAATTCTCTGCCCAGCTGGTATGTGTTGAAGGTTTGTGAAGTATACCAATGAAATCCTGCAAATTAAGAAGTTTTTATTTACATTTTTATTAATTGATTATTCACCTCATTGAAGTTTGTGGGATGTTGCAGACAAGGATTAGATACTGGATATGCATGCAAAACAGCAGAAATTAAATATTACTACACTTTGCGATGTGTATACACACACAAAATTTACCACACAAATGAGATATTTCAACATGAGGCACTACATCAAATGCAATACCTATGATGAATTACGTAATAATGTGATATCTGCAAAGTTAATATGTTGAAGGGCACATTGAACAGTTGTTACTTACTTTCTGATATATTTTTATATTTCAGTTGAAACCTGGGTTGGAATATACACAGTTAAGGACTGCTATCCAGTGCAAGAAACCTATACCAAGAGCTACAGTGTAACAACCTCAACCCGCTTTTTTGATCTGCAACTAGGAATTAGTGACCCATCTGTGTTCACCCCACCCAACACCTGCCAGGCAGGCAATCTAGAGGAGATGAGCGATGGTTGCTGACCGTAAAGCGCTGGCTGCAGTACAACCACCATTTATCAATTGTTTCTGTTGCGATGGACCCGTTGCTTAAAAACCATCAGTTGTGCCACCTTCTCTTGAATGCTGACGTGCCCGGGAACTGTCAGGACACCTCTCTGCGGGGGTTGGAGTTCCCTTATATACAAATAGCCTGTTGATTGATGTGTTGTTTCCAAGAAAAAAAGGAAAGGTTGTGCTTGCAGCTGCTGCAGTCCATGTATAACCCTGCCCAAGAAGAGGTCTTCAGTATGTGTGTATACACACTGCAAAGTCCATCTGTTAATTATCTGCCATGCCGTTAATATAAGTTTAACAAATACTAGAATTCAATTGTGATTGTGATCGCTCATCTTTGTGTTTGGCAACATAAAATATTTAGTTCCACCTAAAGAATGAGGATTAGAATACTGTAATTCCTTTACAATTAAGCTTAGAGTAAATACAAATATGTAATCCTTTAATGATGATATTTTGATTTTCATAGCAGACTTTTAAAAAAATGTTATGAAAATCAAAGTGGAAACTTGTGTTGCTATTAATGAGTTAACCCTTCAAGTGTTAACAGGGACAGGAAGCTTCAGCTCACCCTGTGATGCTGAAATACTTTAAAATATTGTAAAAAAAAGACTTCTACCTGTCATAACTTTTCTTTTCCTTGTACACTCTTATTTCTAAATCTACCTTTATTATAAACTTTTAACACTAACATGTTTTCCCAGTATATTTTGTCACTATTTTACCAAGGAGCCCCACATAGAAAAATCTGTCTACTGGTTGAATTCAAAGATGATATAATCTGGCAATTAATACTCAGAACTGTAAAGATTTGTATTGCTATGCTTGACCAGGACAAGTTTTGACATGTTTTAAAGCTTTAACACAAGAAGTATGATCTAATTTGTGGAGCAAGCACCACATTGTCTCCTGATGCAAACATGTCTGTGACACTTGAGGGTTAATGAGTAATGCATTTGAAAGCTTCACCTCAAAACCAGAGTGATAAAGAGTCACATTGAAACTTGAATATCCTGAGAGGAAATGTTATATCACTGTAGGCATTGAGGTACCCATCTTTCTAGCTCATTGATCTGCTTTATTCTAAATACTGTCCTGTATCTCTAAAATTCTAAAGTAGTGAGATTTACTGTTTTTCAAATAAAGTGCAGGGTTGATGAAATGTTTAGAAATGCTGTTGGTTTCAACTGGGAGGATTGTGTTTTAAAATAATAACTCTGATGGAGATGGATTTCTTTGTGAGTTAATCTGTCAGAGAAGTTTGCTGAGTATTTAATTCTGTCATGCAATAGCCTGAATCTATGAAATAAACCTTCTCCTAGACTAAATCAAAGACTAGTGTTTCTGTACAAACATGCAGATTTGTGTGTTTTCTCCCCAGAGGCTCAAATCGCCTCCTCTACATTATCCAGGAAAGTGTTATGCATGTAAATTGTGTGATAAGATTTGAGGCATAGCATTTGATAAAGTTCCACAAACTCAAATTTCTTGTACCTTCAAAAGCCCGTTGACACATTGGAGAGGGGCAAGTGCTGGAAAGGTACAGAGAAGAGCAACCAGGATTATTCCATAGCAGACAGTCTATTCTGATGCTCCAATACAGTGTTGGAGTTGCCATCCTTCAGATGAGATGTTAAATCAAGTCCCATCTCAGTTATTCTACATATAGGACCCTATATAATGGAAGTTGTTGTATATGAGGTGGGTTTCATTTAAATCAAATTATATTAGTTTCACTTTGGTATCACTTCATAAATTGACACAGGAACTCCAAGTTGATAACCTTTACTGTGAAAATAAATCATACTTCCAAACATAGTGCTTTGCTGTCAGCTGGTTAATATTCAGAGAAACCTGCATACTGTATTTCAACTTTTCCAATTCTTAATTTGACCTGGTAATGGCTTGTGTGCAGAAATTAATTTCAGTCATCTAGACTGTCAACCTCAGAATAATTATTGCATTTAAGAAGGACAAAACTGGGATTCAGGGACCAAGAATGTGGGCAAAACAGTCAAAGATGTAGATGTTTAGAAACACTATTAATAAGGTTGTAATTTTGAAAACCACAGCAATAAAATATAAGTATTGGCACACATTTTCATATAAAACATGCAGTATTTTCCTATTATTTTTGATATAATTATTGTTTACTTACAAAATACATTGTCACTGCTCATTCCTGAGAAGCACTTTGAGATGCCTTAAGGCCCTATGTCAAATGCAAAGATTATTATATTCCTTGTGCAATAATACAAATTGCATATTGTAACAAGATTCATTCAGAATAAGTTCTTCGGTCCATTTCATCTTATCTTGCCAGAATACCCACCCTATCTTAACAAATGGTTTCTCCTCCCGCCCCTGCCCGGTCACCTGTGGGGACCCCAGGGCTCCATTCTTGCCCTCTTTTCCTTATCCATATGCTTCCTCTGGGCGATATCACCTGCAGACATGGGGTAAACTTTCATATGTTTGCAGATGACACACAAATCTACTTTGCCTCCTCCAGTACCAACTCCAGGTCTGCCAATGTTCTATCAGTTTGTCTAGCATTCATCAAGGCCTGGATGAGTGTAAACTTCCTACAGCTGAATATGGACAAGACGGAAGCCATACTCCTTGGCTCCCGTCAACGTCTTCACTCCTGCGGATCTAAACTCCTCAACCTCCCTGCGCTCTTCCTCACACTCACCGAACCAGTGCGCGACCTAAGCGTCCGGTTTGTCCCCAGCTGTCCTTTCTCCCCCACATCCGATCCCTAACCAGGACCGCCTTCTTCCACCTCCGCCACATTGTCCGCCTCTGACTACCTTACCCTAAATGCAGCCAAAACCATCGTGCATGCATTTGTTACCTCCCGCCTGGATTACTCCAACGCACTCCTCGCCGGTCTCCCCAGCTCCACTATTCAAAAGATCCAGCTCATTCAAAACTCAGCTGCCCATATACTGACCCGGACCAAACTCCGTATCCACATCTCACCAGTTCTGGCCGGGCTCCACTGGCTCCACATCATCGAACGGATCGACTTCAAAATCCTCACACTTGTGCTCAAATCCATTCACTCCCTGGCACCTCCCTACCTCTCCAACCTCCTCACTCCCCAATCAACCTCCCGGTGCCTCTCTTGACATGCACCGGCCTCTTGCTCGTCCTTCCTACCCTCTGCCCCACCATCGGAGATTGTACTTTCAGCCACTATGCCTCAAAACTCTGGAACACTTCCTCAATCCCTTTGCCTTGCCCCCTCTCTCCCCTCTTTCAAGTCCAGTCTGAAAACTTTCGTCGACCATGCCTACGGCCAGCTCTTCCCTCCCCCCAGCTTGGAATCAAGCTCTGCCACTGCTAAGCGCTCTGAGACGTTACCCTGCGTGGAGGGCACTATATAAGTGCAAGTTGTTTTATCATCTTCCCATCACACCATCAAACTTTTTTTAAAATTAGTCCAATGTCTTGGCATCAAACACACTATCTGCTAACCTGTTCCAGTCATTAATTACACACTGGGCAAAGAAATACTTCCTGGTGTCTGTCCTGAAATTGCTCTTTGCAACTCTGAACATATCGTATTTTTCAGTGTCATGAATGTCCCCTCACATATTTAATCTGAGAATGTGAATAACAATAAGCCAAATAAAAATTATCTAGACTCCTGAAAGTAATGAAGCAAAACTGCAGGTTATTAATTGAATGTTACAACCTACATCATTCAACTCTGCTCAGATTCAAGTGAATTGATACTACTTGTAGAATGTCTACTGGTGTTTTACATTTGAAAAATGCAGTAATTAAAATGACTACTTACAAAAATCTCAGAAATTGCTACATTTGAAGTATTCGGTTCAGGTTCATAATAACAATAATTCAGATATGGTTGCTAGTAAGAGAATGACTGCAACATTCAGAAGTTTTTTTATAGAATATTTTTCAAAAATCCTTGCCACGATTCAGTTGTTTGCATATTTTGCATTTACTTTTCTTTTTAATCATATTTTCCATTGCATCTATGAAACGGAAAATATGACCATGACCTTGCCCAGAATAGTTTACTGGGCTCATTAATTTTGCACAATGTATGGTGAATAAATAGCTACAAAGCAGTTTGAGAGGCTGACCATCGTGTATTTGATTAAATGGATAAAATGACATCAGCTCTCCTGAACATGGTGCTGTTTGAGTTTGTGTGGATCATTTATTTTACACAAAAGGAATTTGAATCATAAGAACTAAAATTACTTGGAAAAGTGTATCAAAATATGAATTCAACAGAGTCTCATAGAAGTTCTTGAATTGTTCACTATAGTAAGAGGTTTGATTCTATTTAGTCTCTTTAGATATTAAGTTTGCTTGTGAATCCTGAGGAGCTCAGTTGGTCTTTATACAATTCCTGACCCTGCCAATTATCTCTCTGCCATTTGATTGAATCAGGACAGCAATAAATGCCTCTAATTATGGAAATTGAGCAATAATAATAAATAAGTTTTGCACATAGAAGTGACATCAGATTTACTAGCAAGTTAGTTAGCAAACAGTTGTTTAATATCTTGTAACATTGGTAATAAGTAAAATACATATTTGATTTCATTGCATAAAACTGCAAATTAAAATATGATGGAAAACCATTTAGGCTTCCACCAATTTTATCATCTTATGACTATTTGTGGGACCTTGCAGGTGCTAATGACTTGAAGATTTGCTAACTAAAACAATCACTTGACAAGTGCTTGAAGTACTTTGAGAAATTTCAATGTAGTAAATGTAAATTGCTCACTAATTGTCTTCCCTGTCTCCCACAAAAATAATTAATTCTGCTTCCTTGTCATGGAGCCTGGTAGCCCTTCTGTACCATGCTTAAGTAGCCTTTACAATACAATACAGAATGATATTTGTATAGCACATTTCATGTCAGGAGGACTTGTTCATATATGAGCCTCATGAGTGCTTTTAAAGAGGCTATTTGACCATGGGATGTAGCACAGCATCATCCTTCAGATTCACCTTCCTGCAAGGGACTGACAACCCACCAAGGGTAGGAGTCTAAGCTGATTTGCCCTTCCAGGGGAGTTGAGGCCAATTGTAACACTCTTAAACTGCCGCCTCGACTGAGGCAAACAGATGATTCCAATCTGCGACCTCCTGGTCTGAGAACCTCACTCTCACTGTTTTTACCTCTCTAGGCCATCAGACATTCTTCTTTCAAGTATGCCCCCAACCTATGGAACTCCATCCAACATTCCCTTCTCCTCACTCCCTCCCTTGTCTCCTTCAAGGCGGGTCTCAAAACCCTCCTCTGCGATAGAGCCTTTGGCCACCCTCCTACCCTCTCTGGCTGCCACCCTCTCCTATCCCAACCCCCAGCTCAGGTTCAAATCCCTGACAGTCCAGCACCTTGGGACAACTTCCCGACATGAAAACTTCTATACAAATGTAATTTGTATTGTATTAGCCATACAAAATTACAAATAGCAATATATTCTCCCTCCAAATATTTGCAATTTATTGCAGTATATTAAACTAGTTAGAAATACCAAGTAAGTAAGCAATTGACTTTTCCCTGAGGTTGACTGAGGTTTCCACACAAATTCAGTTATTTGAGGGAACAATAATGCCCTACAAGGAGTGATGGTTGAGTCAGAATCCATATTGGCTTTCAAGAGGCAACTAGATAAATAAAAAAATGGGGAAAGAGAAGGTCAATGGAACTGAAAGGATTGCCCTTAAGGGACAAGGCACAGACACGATGGGCCAAATGGTGGTCTGTGCTGTAAATTTCTATGGTTCTATGTCTTCCCAGATATTTGTTTGTTAAATTATCAACAACATGATAAGGCTCTATATCTAGTTTGTTACACCAACAGAAGGAGAAATATGTTTTCTTTATTTACAAAAGTTATAGACATTTATTGATACAGCTGCTCTTTCTGCTATATCATAGTCACTACTGGAATCTGTTCAAACAATATCAATGGCAGTAGAATAACCATAGTACAGATTAGTGATAGAGGTGTACATTTCTATTATCTGACAGCAAACAAAATCAATCGACACAAATGAGGACCGGAAGCAGAGACAAATGGAGAAATTGAGTTGAGTGTCACAACAGCACCAGGAAGGGATAGTGATGGACTTTAAAGTGTTATACTTGTGGAGTCCTGTAGCGTATTGGTTAGAACACTAGCGTCGCAAGCAAGAGGACCTGGGTTCGGCGAAACCTTAGGTAAGTTTTCTTACTCCACATGCCTCCGTTTATCTAGCAGTTAGGACGAACCTGGTTGTTAGTCAATTGGCACTTCGCTTTTCTGGGGGTAATTAGCCCTTCAAAAAA